TGATCTTGAGTGAATTTTCAAAGCAGCACATTTTGCTGTGTCCACCTGATGCAACCCTGAGCCTGGTAGAGTTTGGAATTATGGAAAGATGTTTACCCAAGTCCCAGATGTCATCCATTATCTTGCCTTTACTTAACTAAAAGCATCCTGGAACTTTTCACAAATAGCTCATTTTGTTTTATTCCTTTTAAAGGAAGTTGAAAATTACACAGATCCCCGGGTCTTGTCTCAGAGTTACTGAGGAGTCTGAGTTCTGGTGGTCGAGTGAGGAGCCCACAGTGCTTGTGAAGTGCTGCCCGGCTGGTCCACAGATTAGTTGGGGAACTGGTGGTCAAGTATTCTATTTGGTAGTCTAATATTTAGAATTTTGGAGATCTGTTTTATTGAATGTTTATTTCTTTTAAGTCTGAAGAGTTAAAACTAGCCTGGGCATTGGCACACCTGCAAATATCTGCAACATTTATATGTGTTAGTTTCATGCTCTCCCCCCCAAATGTTATGTACAGTTGCTACCAAAACTTGGTACTGACCCCTATATTTGCTAAACATTGGGGTAAATCCTCAGAATACTAAAGCTGTTAAGTAGCTTATGATATAACTAGGAAAAGAGACAGGTAGTTATAAATACAGGTAATCACAAAGTGCAAAAAATAAAGTATGAATAATTTAATTTTAAGGAGTAACGATTTTGGTGGCACACCTTCTCATAAAGTACATTTTTTAAAAGTAGAAATATTACTATTATATTGGAAATATAAGAATGTGACTTTTGGGTTAGTCAAATTAATTTATACAGCAAACCTTAAGAATTATAAATCTTTAATTTTATCAGTAACTGTGAAAAAAAGCTGATTGAAACTGTTATTTAAACCACAAAAACCAATGTTGCTCATTGGGTATTAATCTTTAGTTCTTTAATGTATAATTCTGGTGTTGGCATTAGAGAAGTACTGTATTCAACTGATGTTCTCTCAATTTATACAATTTCTACAAGGTGTCTTCAAAGCTTTATTCCTTACCAAATCCAAGTGTCCTGGTGTCCTTGCGGCTGGATTTTCTACGAATCATCTGCAGCCACGAGCACTACGTCACGCTGAACCTGCCCTGCAGCTCACTCACGCCACCCGCATCTCCGTCACCTTCAGTTTCCTCTGCAGCTTCTCAGGTATGCACAGTGTCTGAGCATTCATATTTGTAACTAATGCTAATCGAGGAATAGCTCCTTAAAATGACTCTAGGATA